CACATGTTACCACCCATGGGGTTTTCCCTGCAATAGCTGGAATGACTGCATTAGCACTGGGCCAATTGAATTGTTCACTAAAATACTCTGCCCAGCGATCAAGTCATTGTTCTTTATTGTCGATACTTTCTCCACTTTTATCGCAAGTGGTCTTACTGACCGGTATGCGACGACCTGCGTTACTGCTTAACAGGTGAAACAGTCTTTTGCTACAGAAGTTACCAACATTTCGCTAGTTATTTCGGCCCACCACTTTTCACGATCTTTCTTAAGGCTATTTCTGAGTTGACGTTGCAGATGCCAGCGATCCCTATTGTGATCCTCGCAGGTTGGGATCTTTCGCTTTTGATCCATCAGGATTCCTGACTCATGAAAGATTAAATGACGTCGGCCTCTGTCCCTCCAGCGAAGTTTGCTGCTGAGTGCATCGTAAATCAAATTTGATTACACTACTGGTCCATTCCACTATGTCGCAGGTATCCTAGCTCCTGTCCGACGAGAAATGTGTCAAAAGTTGGTGCTAGATAAGAACAATCGATGATCCGCGCAGATATGAAGAAGTCAATAACCGATGTCTGTTCTTTGGGCGTTGATAGTGAAATGCCCCCTAAACATGTTTTAGTTGCGTTCAGTCTTCTAACCTGAGCGTTAAAAACATCTGCTAATACTATAATATCAGAGCTGAGGCTCAACCGAATGCGTTCGGTGAGTTTATCGTAAAATTCATCCTTTTATGAAGTCGAATTGCAGTTGTTTAGTGCATATGCGGAAACGATGAACAAACAACTTTTAGTGTTGCTGCCTTTTCAAATACGACACAAACGACTATTGATGGATTTCCACTCCATCAGTGAGACTTCAGCTCTACAACACGCTTAAACAGTGAACGGGCTTCTTCGTCTTCTGATATACGAAGGAAATACTTTGAAGACAGACCAGGTCGATTCAGGTGGCTTACGATACTAGAATCCTGAATATGAACGTGGCGCGCCCTTCCATTGGTTGCGCTACGTTGTGTGTTCGTCGTCTCACCGGATTTTAGGTTATCTCGATGTCAAACATGTTCCGGACCCATACATACGCTCGTCAGGATACGCTTAGATTAAAATCTGTTAATTCTGTGCCTGGTACAAACAATATGTTGGAGAATTTAGCCATCATGCTTGGATCAAGAAGAGCAAGGGTGCTGGATGGCAGTGTGCGCTTAGTAGCACCTCTCCTGCCAAGATAACCGTGCCGTCATTGGTCAGTACCAACGCTCGCTCTCTCTTCGCAAAGACCTCGAATTTAACTTCCTCACTGAACACACGTATACATTCCAACATGTGTCGTATGCATACAAGAAACCTGGTTAAATCAAAACGTTGAAGATGCTCTCGTGCAGATAGACGGTTTCGACTGTTACCGGCAGGACAGACAACATAGCAGGAAGAAAACCGAAGGCGGTGTGACAACATACATCAACACTTCTTGGTGTGGCAAGTCTGAAGTGGTTTTCAGCAACTCTGAAAAATCCATTGACTGTTCATCCGTTCGTTGTTATCCCATATTTCCCCGACATAAAAGTACAATTATTACTAATGTGTTTATACTTTCTTCGTGCTCCCAATCGGATATATCTTCTTTCTTTGATCATTACATCCCGTTTTTGGTTCCAATATTAGATGAAAATCTTCGTTTGGCTGTTGGTGACTTCAATCATGAAACATTTTCCTCTGCTTTCTTTTGGCTTGTCTGATTTGTCTCATTCTCCTACCAGAGGTAGCTTTATAATTGACCGGGTAATCACAAACCATCCCACTTTGTTTTCTCTCAAACTAATGGGCCCAGTCGCTACCAGTGGTCATTGTGTTCTCCAAAGATATGCTCTGCATGTCCAACATTTATACGACCAAACCAGATAAGGTTTCATCTCCGTAACTTTTCATCAACCCGCATTTCTCTTCTCTGTCGTTCCATAACGGTTGCCTAATCTTGAGTTGCTTCTTGTTCATCACTTTTTTACTGTGTCAATCTTTTCATGGAAAAGATGAGATCGATTTTTGCTATCCCATGGAAACGCTGTTTGTTAACAACGGCAAAATTTCATCTCCTCGCCTGAACTTACTACGAAGGCAAAAGGAACGATCCTATAAATCTCACCATCCATCTGCTGTAAAGTACTATTTTAACTTAATTATGGCCGAGATTACACGTTTAAACGAGACGTTCGCTTCCCAAATCCTGCAAACGAAAAACACAAGGTTTCTGTGGCAAAGAATTCGTCTTATATGCGGACAAATAAGGAAAACCGTGAACAATGATGTTGATGTGAATAGCCTTAACGCTGCATTTCTTTATCCGTCTAACGATACCCAGGTACCCTCTTCCTCATGTGAGGTCTCCAATTCTGATCTGTTCCCTTTTACTAATGATGAAATTTTTAAGCTTCTACGTTCCTTCAAACTATCGTCATCTGCGGGCCTTGATGGTCTTTCTCCAGCGTTTCTCAAGTTTGNCAGCCCCTCTAACTAGTATGATGACATCCCTCATCAACGAGTCTCTTTCTTCGCAAACGACCTCCGATTCCTGGCGATCAGTGACTATAATATCTGTTCCGAAGATCTCTTCCCCAACCTTTCTTGCAAAACGTTTTCTTCCCACTGCATTGACGTCTGTTGTTCTAAAGTTGACTGAGAAAACCATCCTGAGTCGCTTACAGTCACTTGTCACCATTTACCATGATCCTCTTCAGTTAGCGTATAAACCTAACTGATCCACT